TGACATGCAGGGCTGACATGCAGGGGTTCATGGGTTGAAGACCAAGGGGAGGGAGACGAGGGCTCCAGCAGGGGGTTCAGAGTGGAGGGTGCTCCAGCGAATACAGATGACTTCTGAAGAGTCTGACACATACAACACACAGGAGAGGACTGCATGCAAAGACAAGCAACAACTTGAGCAAAGCTACATTTAAATGAATACTGGAAAGTATGATTGTTTGCTAAGGTCAATATCAATGTGTGTTCAGCAAAAACAGTAAAAAGTACAGTCCTCACAGTGAAGTTTCCAGCTTTGAAGCAAACTGGTGATTCCTAGATGTGTTGGTGGCTAGCTTGCTGTAATGAGTTACAACATGTAATCAAGACTTAAAACCTGTTGATAAGTGATTTTCTGTTTAAAGCCATGCTCTAACTCTGTACTAATCTACAGAGATGAAATTGATGTATCATTTTCCTCAGGAAGACGGCAAACAAGAGTATTTCCCAAAATGTTCCATGGTCAAGACACTCTGTAAGTCCCCATAGTCTTGTGAGCACAGGGCCTGCAACTACTCAGCACTCGCTTGCCCACAAAGTTGACTTTTGAGACTTTGGATGTGAGGATGGAACAGACGGTGGGTGAACGTTTTTTGTGTGCATGGGTTAATTATCTAATATTAGTCTCAGACAAAGATCCAGAACGACAGTGTAGAAACAACAAAGAGTGAAGAGCAAAAACATTTTCTCATACCCGTCCTGAACTTGCTGTAAGGTCCGTTCTCGTGAGTCTGACGGCTGCCAGACCAGAAGGGCAGGCCTCTCTCTCCACCTGTAACACACACCAAAGAGAGAGATCAGAGAATAACCAGGTGTGTTTATTTGTTTACCAAAGTGCTTTGAGACTGCCACAGTAACTGCTTTGATGTGTACACCGAGCATGCATGTGTGCATGTGTGTCTGGTCCAGGTGAGTGTTGAATAAAGCCCAGGATTAAAAGGGAGAAGAGAGGGAGTGACGATGAAAGATATATCCAGCTCTTTGTAGTGAAGAGCCTCATCTGGCTAACAGGAAGGGATGAATCTCACTGACATTCACACTCTCACTCTTTTTATATCCTCACTCTAAGGGCCAGGTTATGCTCAAAGGGAACTAGTTTGTACAACGAATCGGCCGACCATGTCAGGAAGCAAAAGTGTTTGTTGTTGTGAAAAACCAGCCGTCAAAGAGCGAGGCGAGACACAATTATCTTTTTTATAGAGTTATTAGAGCACATTCTGTCCTAGAAGGCATTCATGATTATGAAGCGAATTGTGATTTTTATTTCAAATTATCACACTGAGACAGCTGTTGACAAGAATTCCCAATGTGTTGACTTAACCAACAATTAATAAGAAACATTGTTTAAACAAAATAATTCACACCTTTATTTCCTATATTTCTGACTACAATAATGGGTGGGTGTGTTCACTTGTGTGTGATAGACTCCAACCAAAGGTGTCTAGTGGTGCCACAGTCTGCAATTAGGCAAGACAAATGTTATACAGTGGATAGAAAAAGTCTACACACCCCTGTTAAAATGCCAGGTTCTTATGATGTAAAATAATGAGACAAAGATAAATCATGTCAGAACGTTTCCACCTCAAATAACCTGGTTGCGTAAGTGTGCACACCCTTACACTAATCCTTTGTTGAAGCGCCTTTTGATTTATTACAGCAGTCAGTCGTTTTGGGTAGGAGTCTATTAGCATGGCGCATCTTCTTTGCAAAAGCGCTCCAAATCTGTCAGATTACGAGGACATGGCCTGTGCACAGCCCTCTTCAGATCACCGCACAGATGTTCAATTGGATTCAGGTCTGGGCTCTGGCTGGGCCTTTCCAAAACATTAATCTTCTTCTGGTGAAGCCATGCTTTTGTGGATTTGGATGTGTACTTTGGGTCGTTGTCGTGCTGAAAGGTGAACTTCCTCTTCATCTTTCTAACCGACGCCTGAAAGTTTTGTGCCAAAATAGCCTCTTTTTGGAACTGTCATAATTCCCTCCACCCTGACTAAGGCCCCGTTCCAGCTGAAGAAAAACGGCCCCAAAGCATGATGCTGCCACCACCATGCTTCATGTGGCTATGCTGTTCCTTGGGTGATGTGCAGTGTTGTTTTTGCACCAAACATACCCTTTGGAATTATGGCCAAACAGTTCTACCCTGGTTTCATCAGACCATAACACATTTTCCCACATGCTTTTGGGGGACTTGATGTTTGTTTTTGCAAACTTCAGCCGTGCTTGGATGTTTTTCTTTGTAAGAAAAGGCTTCTGTCTTGCCACCCTACCCCATAGCCCATTCATATGAAGAATACAGGAGATAGTTGTCACATGTCACATGTTTTTTAGGGACGTCCAGTTCTTGGTAAAGTCACAGTTGTGCCATATTTTCTCCACTTGATGATGACTGTCTTCACTGTGTTCCATGGTATATCTAATGCTTTGGAAATTCTTTTGTACCCTGTCTCCTGACTTATGTCTTTCAACAATGAGATCTCTCTGATGCTTTGAAAGCTCTCTGCGGACCGTGGCCTTTGCTCGGAGATGCAACTAAGAAAATATCAGGAAAATCCTACTAGAACAGCTGAACTTTATTTGTGATTAATCAGTCACTTTAAATGATGGTGAGTGTAATGGCAGGTGTGTAATGTCTTCTAGTTAACCTGAGTTTGAATGTGATTGTTTAATTCTGAACACAGCCACATCCCCAGTTATAAGAGGGTGTGCACACTTATGCAACCAGGTTATTTGAGGGGTTTTATTTTTCATTTTTTCCCCTCGAACATTTCAGTTTGTTTTTCAATTGAATTGTTCACATTATAGGTCACATTAAAGGTGGAAAACGTTCTGACATGATTTATCTTTGTCTCATTATTTTACATCATATGAACCTGGCATTTTAACAGGGGTGTGCAGACGTTTTCTATCCACAGTAACTGATATAAATCGCCCATACTAATAAGTAACAGGTTGAAAAAAAAATCAGCATATCCTCTGAGGTTTGTGTTTTCTTGTCTCTTTTTCATCTCTATAGTTATCTTTCATTCACACACACACACACACACACACACTCTCTCCATATAATTACGGGATCAAAAACACCTTTGTGCTTCCTGTCTTCACATCATATGGCCACATCTCAGATTACATATTAATAATAAAACCTTATCAGCAGCCAGGATGACTCAGCCCTGCACTGCTTCACCACCCCAACACCAGACGTTGCAATTAGCAGGGGAGGGATCATTATGACCGCAGAGTGTGTGTGAGTGTGTGTGTGTGTGTGTGTGTGTGTGTGTGTGTGTGTGTGTGTGTGTGTGTGTCTCTACGCACCAATGGAATAAGAAAACTGCAATGATGAGGCAGGCAGACACGGCATCAGTCAGAATCCACATTAAACTATATTCCTCTGGAGTCTGGAGAGAGGCAGAGAAGGAAAGAGTTGATTACATTTGCTGAAAAAAAAAATTGTGAACATGAATATCATTATTTAATTTAGTGCCCATAAAGACTTGGACTTGAATGCTCATGTTAAAAACTTAATCCAACTCATTTGAAATTAGAAAGATATGTAGGTGGTGACAATTTGTTTTTGGTACAGTATGTTTAAGCTCTACATCACGTACATGCATTACAGACAACAAATAGACAAACATGTAACAATACAACAACAAATAAAAACAGTGGGTAAATGACCACACACATGACCATACAGTTGCCTTCTTACACAGGATGCGAGAAGGCAACTAAACTAAAGGGAGGAGTTCAGAGTCCTGATGGCTATGGGAAAAAAGCTATTTGTGAAGAGTTTGGTCTTGGTAGAAAGTGACCTGTAGCGTCTCCTTGAGGGAAGGAGCTGGAAGAGGTGGTGAGCAGGATGTGAGGGGTCGGAGATGATTTTCTTTGCTCGCTTTGCAGTCCGATGTGTATAGAGGGAATCAACTGAGGGCAATGGTTTTCCTACAATGTTGGATGCTTTGTTGACAGTCCGCTGTAGTTTTTCCTTTGTTTGGGCGGTCATTGCTACCACACCATACTGTGATCGATGATGTAATGATGGACTTGATGATAGCGGAGTAGACAGAACAAAGAGTTGATGCTTGATCCGGTATTTTTTAAGCTGCTCAGTGATGGTGGGTTGCCGTTTATTTGTATGGGTGTTTTGGGAAATGGCCTACGTCTAAAGTCAATAATGAGTTCCTGGGCTGGTTTGAGCTGGAGGTCATTGTTCGAACACCAAGTGACAGCTTGGTCCGCCTCCACGCGATACTGGGTTTCATCGTTGTCTGAGATGAGGACTACAATGGTTGTGTCGTCCACATTACTTTTGTTCTCACTGAATGTAAAAGTGGGCGGTGTACGGGGAGAAGAGCCAAGGGGAGAGAACACAACCCTGAGGAGCTCCTGTACTCAGGGTGAGAGAGTGTGAGGTTATGTTATTAACCTTCACCCTCTGTGATCTATTCCACAGGAAGCTCCTTATCCAGTGGCATATGGCTGGATCAATGTTCATGTCCAAGAGTGTAGTAAAGAGTTTAAATGGGTTAATACTATTAAAGGCGGAACTAAAGTCAATGAAAAGGGTGTGTGTGTGTGTAGGTGTTTGGTGATTCCAGGTGTTGCAGGATATGGTGGCGTGCTATGCTGACTGCATCCTCAACTGGCTTGGTAGGCAAATTGATCCGGGTCCATCAGAGAGGTAGTGCAGGATTTCAGGTATGCCAGAATAATTCATTCAAATGCTTTCATAACCACAGGTGTTAGGGCAACTGGTCAGACGTCATTGAGGCAGGTGATCTTTGAGGAGCACAGGAATGATGGAGGAGCATTTAAAACACTGTGTGACTGTAAATTGGCTTATTGAGGTGTTAAATATGGTGGAAAATACTGGCTCCAATTGAGCTGCACAATGTCTAAGTAAAGCAGGACTGATCCCATCCGGCAATGCTGCTTTCCTGATGTTAAGCTTCTTAAATGTAGCTCTCACTTCGTCCTCCTGGATGCTGAAGAAGGTGTTGGAATGGGGTCGGGGGGGGGTGGCTGGTGAGTTTGGTTTTTCAAACCTTGCATAAGTTATTTAATTTTTCTGGATTTTTTTGTAATCTGTCATGTCCTTCAGATGTTTCCATATTGATCTTGAGCTGCTTGATGAGAATTGTTGCTCCAGTTTTGTTTCTTAACTGCGCTTTGCTCTCCTTATTGCAGCTCGTAGTTTATATTTGGCTGCTCTGTTTATGTAACCAAAAGGTCACAGGCTCAATCTTCAAACACTCATGATACCTGCTGAAGAGATTTTCAAACCTCCTCCCTACTCACTCATTGAAACTAACTGTGGATAAGAGCAAATTCAGATGTCTAAAATTAGGGCTGCACAATTTGGAGAAAAAGTCATATTGCGATTATTGTGGACAATATTGCAGTTCGATTTTAATGGAACAAATGGTACTGAGTCTACTTGCTTATATCAAGGAATGTGCGAAATACTAAAATTTTGAAATGTGTATTCTTAATTTGAACAAAGTTAAACCATATTTATAACAATAACAAGTAAAACAGAACAAGGGGAGCGCGTTGTTCTACAGAGGAGGTAGCTAGAAGCAGCACATATTGGCACACTGGCACCGGCTCAATGTCCATCTGTCTAATGCAGAGTCTCTATCCACAACCTGGAGGAGGAACTGCACATGTGTATTAAATAAAGAGTATAATGTTTAGTGAATAGTACACTGTTAGTACAACAATAATAAACAACATTCATTATAATAACCACTAGTCGAATATTAAATCCAGTTACAGCTGTTTCATTTCTGTGGGTTGTTTTTTATTTATTTAATCCTTGTGCAAGCAAAAGGCTCTACATTGGTCTCTAATTTGTTAATGCTAAGTAGCCTACTAACTTGTCAATAATCATATTCTTCAACATTTAATTATTTGCTTTAGAACGTCAAACTTTTTCTAATGTACCGTCCCATCCAGCCTGTGATTGGTCGGTTGATGAAAAGTGACTGACTGGCTCTGTAAAAAGTTGAACATGTTGAACAACTTAATGCACCGATCCAGCTAATATTAATTGGCCAGCGAGCCAAACTCAAACTGTCTTTATCGTCTCCCTGTTTTCTTTTGTCTTACCGCTTTAGCTCACCAGCATTTCTCCCGGTGCTCCGGTGGCGAGACCGACTATGTTTTGAAAAAATAGCGGTGGGGAGGGTGGTTATGGTAGGTTGTTGTCTTAAAAGTTAGTGGCACAAATAATTTTTCTCATTGCAGGTAGGCTTATAAGTTTTTAGGGGCACATGTGAGAGCCCAATGTGGGGGGAGATAATGAGCAGACTGCAGCAGTTTTGCGGTTATATAATCGCACATGACGACATTGCAATTAGATTAATTGTGCTGCTCCAACCTAAAATATTAATGTACAAAGTCTGGAGCCATAGTCCCAAAACATCCTATAGGCTAAAAGTTCCTAAGTTGTCGAATTAGAAGAAACTCCTAAACATTCAGTGTGGAACATCATTGCTGGTTGGGATAAAACACATAACTACTGATTCACTAATGTGCAAATGTCGCCACGGACACCAGATTTAAAATCTTTGCTATACTACAAATACAGAGAGATTTACATGATGGTGATAGTATTAATCAGCATCGTTTGACAAGGGCTCGAATCTAATGGACGTTCATATGTAAAAGTCCCGCACTCTAGCTTTAAGTCTGTGAGAAGTTAAAGGCAGAGCAATAGATTTGAAATTGTAGCTGCTGGTTTATAACTCACCTCAGGCCAAAATAAATTTGACATATTTAAATTAATTCCGTAATGTTGTTTGTTAATGTTGCTCTAACGCATTCTCAACTTTAAATGGCCTCTGTGTATAAAATCTGTTATATAAACACAGCTGCCCTGCCTGTAGAAGGATTTGTTGGAACATTTTACTATTTCATGGAGACATAAAAAAACAACCTGGACAAATCTGGCCATCTGCTAAGGAGCACAAACATAAAGTCAAACAGATGCAGAGTACCTCAACATTTTGGTAGGCTAGCTAATGTGGCAATACTAGCTTGTGTATGTCTTATAAATGTATTTCTTATAAAGTGTCTTTTTAAAAAGCTGCAACAACATTTTCATATTCTAAAATGAATGCTAACAAGTTCAATGTGTCTCATGAGTCTTAGCCACACAAGTGTAAAAACTATGTGGGCAATGAGTGCAGGCAGGCAAGTACAACAGAAGCTCTCTTTAGCAGACTTATTGTTCAAAGGGACACTCCATCAGTCAGTTTGTCAGTTATGTCTTATAATGTCTTCTGTGCCTCTGTAGGGAGCTTTTCCAAACAAAAAATAACCCTCGTGATATGAGGGTTATGACATATATTAGGTAGTTACATTACAGTACTCTCTCTTGGGGATCCCCAATCATCATGAAGTACAATACTAAGTCACTGTAGTAGCTCTTTGGATGATTATTTTCTTGTCTTTTTCTTCGCTTCCGTTTGTCTTACCATGCAGCCTAGACCAACTAGTGACCTCAGCACACGTACTGTACTCCATGATTTTAAAAAAATGTGTTTATATTTCCCCTGTTATACATATATAATCTAATAACAGCTAGGACAGCCATGTCCAAGGAAAAAATAACTATGGTGCAACAATGTGAAAATGTACTGCATGCTAAGATAACAGATCGAGCTCCATGCATCCAAACTAACCTGTAAGAAATACGATGTGAACCGTATTCAGGACAGCAGGCATCATAACATCTGATAATGTAGTTTAATTTGCTTACCATGAGGTAAAGCGGCTTTTTGATGTTGGACAGGATGTGGATGGAGTTGGTGGTTACGGACTGAGCTCCGGCACACCAGGCCAGAGTGTAGAGCCACGGCTGGCTGATCACATACAGGTTGGTGCTGATGTTCACTGACTGGTACTTACTGTAGAGAGAGGAGAAGACAAACATTTGAACCCAAATCATTTTTGGTATTAAAATTAGCTAATACATTAATCCTGTATCTCACCACTATAGCTGTTTAAAAGTTGATTCAGACCACAGCCTGACCTTGGAAACAGGTAGCAATGACAAACATGGCTAACAGACAGGGGTTTACAATGAGAGCACAAAATATACTGACCTTCAAGAAGCCTTCCTTCAGAAAGCTAGCATCATACGTCCATAATTCATATTTCACCACATTGAAATGTAATACCGACAATAACGTAACATCAACATTCACCCCAGTAAAGCTCATCAGATTTGATTTGAGAGAAAGGCGAGATAGAAGGATGCAAATATCGGCAGAGAGGAGTAGAAGGGGAAGGTAAGAGGAGAGGGGGATGGAAGACATGAAAGATGGAGTTGGTGGTTACAAGATGGAGGGAAAGAATGGAGGGAGGTCAATGAGAGGTGGTTCAGCACCTTCACACAACTGAAGTACAGCTGCTTCTTCCCACAGGATCTGAAGCTACCCAGCACTGGTGTTTTCATGGAGAGAATAAGTCCACTCTCCTCTCACCACTCCTCAGCAGCAGGACAGACGCTCAGAGAGAGAAAAATGTACACACCGTCATCCTTCCATTTGCCAGCACATTTCCTAGCAAAGCCTCTCAGTGGCTCAGAAAGGGACCGCCAGACTTCCTCCACAACCGTACTGAGCATTCTGGAGGACCTGATGTTTGTGATGCCACCGAGAGTTTCCATGGATGCTTTTGTGAGGTGGCATACCGGCCTCAACAAATTAATGTCATTAATGTAGCCAAGGAAAATGTGGAGTTTCTAAGGAAGTTATTATTAAACAGCGGCTCCTCATAGATTCACATACCTGGCCTAGGGTCAGGAGTTCGTGTGACCGTCAGTGTCTGCCAGGGATTAATCACCGAGCCGTAGAAGGGCGTGAGTCCAGTCAGCTCAACTTCAGATGGGCTGTTTATCCAGCCCAAGCTGGCCAGCGTTCCTGAGAAGCAGTCGAGCAGGAGCTAACCAGCAGCGACTGCAGCCATACAGCAGCCTCCGTTCCGTCTGCAGTCTGAAGGCCGCGGTTCTGGACAGAATGTCTACAAGTCCTTGTCCTCCCTTTACCACAGGGAGATACAAGACCGACGCCCTCAGCCAGTGTTGACCGGACCAGAAGAAATTTACCAGGAGCCACTGCACTTCATCCAGTAGGCCTGATGGTGGCACCAACACAAACAAACCCAAAGTCCTCCACTCCATAAACGATTCTCATCTGGCAAATGAGCTGAACCAGTTCTACTGCCAAGAGTCCATCGGACACCATCCCCTGTTACTACTCCGCTCAGCTTCAGTCCACCACTTCTTCCCCTCCCTCCTCAGAACTGGCCAGCTCCACCCCCTCCCCTCCTCTCTCCATCACAGAGAGGGAAGTCAACGGTCTTTTCAGGAGGCAGAAACCCCGCAGAGCAGCTGGGCCGGACTCTGCCTCCCCATCCACCCTGAAGCACTGTGCTGATTAGCTGTCTCCGGTGTTCACAGACATTTTTAACACCTCACTGGAGACATGCCATGTGCCAGCCTTCTTCAAAGCCTCCACCATCATCCCTGTCCCCAAGAAACCAAGGACCACTGGATTAAACCACTATAGACCTATCGCCCTGACCTCTGTGGTTATGAAGTCCTTTGAACGCCTTGTGTTGTCCCACCTAAAAGCCTTACAGACCCACTCCTGGACCCCCTGCAGTTCGCCTACAGAGCCAACAGGTCTGTAGATGATGCAATAAACATGGCCCTTCACTTCATCCTCCAGCACCTGGACTCCCCAGGAACCTACGCCAGGATCCTGTTTGTGGATTTCAGCTCGGCTTTTAACACCATCATCCCGGCCCTGCTGCAGGACAAGCTCTCTCAGCTGAACGTGCCTGACTCCACCTGCAGGTGGATCACTGACTTCCTGACGGACAGGAAGCAGCACGTGAAGCTGGGAAAACATGTCTCTGATTCCAGGACCATCGGCACCGGTTCCCCTCAAGGCTGCGTTCTTTCCTCCCTTCTCTTCTCCCTGTACACCAACAGCTGCACCAGTCTGTCAAGCTCCTGAAGTCTGCAGATGACACCACCCTCATTGGGCTCATCTCAGGTGGAGATGAATCTGCCTACAGATGGGAGATTGACCATCTGGTGACCTGGTGCAGCCAGAACAATCTGGAGCTCAACGCTCTAAAGACCGTGGAGATGGTCGTGGACTTCAGAAAGAGCACAGCCCCACCCTCCCCCATCATCCTGTGTGACTCCCCAGTCACCACTGTAGACTCCTTCCGCTTCCTGGGCACCATCATCTCCCAGGACCTCAAGTGGGAGCTGAACATCACCTCCCTCTCCAAACAGGCCCAGCAGAGGATGTACCTCCTGCGGCAGCTGAAGAAGTTCAGCCTGTCAAAGACAATGATGGTGCACTTCTACGCCGCCATCATTGAGTCCATCCTCACCTGCTCCATCACAATCTGGTACGCTGCTGCCTCTGCCAGGGACAAGGGCAGGCTGCAGCGTATTATTCGCTCTGCAGAGAAGGTGATTGGCTGCAATCTTCCTTCTCTTCAGAACCTGTACGCCTCCAGGACTCTGAGCCGAGCAGGAAAGATTGCAGCTGACTCCTCCCAACCCGGACACAAACTGTTTCAGACTCTTCCCTCTGGCAGGAGGCTGCGGCCCATCAGGACCAAAACCTCTCGCCACAAAAACAGTTTCTTCCCGTCTGCAACTAGCCTCATTAACAAGGCCCGGGTCCCCTAATGACACTCCCCCCTTGCAAATGATACAAATGTCTCTGCACATGTAAATACCGTTTCATCTCGTGTTGTGCACAGACCTGGCACGTCGCACATATTTGTTGTTGATTGTTGATCTTTGTTGTTGTATATTTTTATGTACGCAATTTTCTCTTCCGTTGCGTTACTTCTGCACGACACAGACCCAGAATAATGCACATGTATATCTGCAATGTTGTTCTTCCATTCCATATTTATATATTTCTACATTTATTTATGTTGACTATGTTTGTCTACGTGTAGCACCTAATCACCACAGCACATTCCTCGTATGTGTAAAACACTACTTGGCACTAAAGCTCCTTCTGATTCTGATGATCTTGTGCCACAGAGATGATGCAATCAGGTTATTCACTATCAGAGCTCTTCCCCTATAGCACAGGTGAGGTAGCTACCATTTCCATTTAGACAACCTGGCTTCTACCTTTTCCAGCACTGTCTCCCAGTTCTGCCTCTGAAAGTCCTCACTCCCTAGAAAAATTCCTAGGCTTTTTATACCCCTTTTTCCCCACCTAAGGTTTCCAGGAAGACAGGGAGTGCTCCCCACGCAACCACTCTCCCCCACTAAACAAGCCTCACTTTTTCCCCAGTTCACCTTGGCAAGGAAACTTTTCCATACAAGGCTTTCTTCTAACTCTTGAATGTCTCTCTGATTGCAAATAAATACATTTACATCATCAGCATATGCTGATACAACAACAGGGGGCGTCTGAGCCAGCTCTGGCAGTGAGAGACCCCTCAGCCTGCTCCTCAACCTGCAGAGGAGAGGCTCAATGGCAATGCTGTAAAGCTGGCCTGAGATGGGGCAGCCTTGTCTGATCCCTCTCCTAACTGGCACAGGAACACTCAACCCATCACCCAACTTCACCACACAACAAGCATCACAATACAGCAGTTTTGCCCAAGACAGAAAACCCTCCACAACACCAAAAGCCTGTAAGGTAGAAAAAAGAAAATCATTATCCACAAGGTCAAAAGCCTTCTCCTGGTCAATAGATATGATACCAACATTGTTATATACTTTGCAAATATCAAACGCATTTCTCAATGAGAATAAATGATCAAACATGGAACTATCCGGTACACAGTATGATTGATCTGCACCAATTAAAAAGTAAATAACAGTTTTCAATCTATTTGATAAGACCTTGGAGAGAATCTTATAGTCCGTGCACAAAGAGCTAATGGTCTCCAGTTCTTTAAAAGGGCTAAATCTACTTTCTTAGGCCGAAGAGAAAGAATTGCACGCCTATAGGATGCTGGAAGTGTCTCTTTTATAAAACACTCTTTGAAAATGTCCAGAAGGTCCTGTCCCATGATAGTCCAGAAGTATTTACAAAAGTCTGATGGAAAACCATCTATTCCTGGAGCCTTGCCAGACGCCATCTGAGACACAGCAGCAGTCAGTTCATCAAGAGGTATATCCAAACCCAGAGCCTCCTGATCTCCTGGATCCAGTTGAGGAAGCCCCTGGTGAAGCTCTGCAGCAGAGTCAACATCACAGCCGTCTGCCCTGAACAAGTTTATAAAAGTCACTCCATGCTTCCTCATCTGCGTTGGGTCTGTGGTCACCTTCCCATCAGGGAGGCGGAGACACACCATCTGTTTTTTGAAGCAGCTGACTTGTCTAAGTTAAAGAAAACAGTGGTTGGTGCTGTAGTCTGGTGAAGTGTGCTTGGACCAAAAGCCCTTTTTGGCTCTCTCCTGCAGGAAGAAGTTAAGCTCCTGTTTTTTAGATTGTAAAAGATCATTATTTTGCTGATCTGTTCATAAGGCATTTTCCAAGTCTCTTATCTCGCCCTCTAACTCCTGCACAGCTCTCTTGATGTTTATTGTGACACTGGCAGTGTATTCCTGACAAAACACCCTAATTTGAGGTTTTCCTACCTCCCGCCACTGAGTCAGAGAAAGGAAATCATCTTTCCGAGATCTCCAGTAAGTCCAAAACAATTAGAAAATTTCCAGTGAAGGAAAGAATCAGCTTCAATAAGACTGAATGATGGTCTGTAAAAATTACTGTGATGATCTGACTCCGGCAGTAAAAGAACAAGGTACATAAAAGCTGTCTAGTCTAGCTGCACTTACTCTACCATCTGATATTTTGATCCAAGTGTACTGCCTATCTGAAGGGTGTTTCATCCTCCACACATAAACC